TTGGCCCCAAGAAGAGAGCAGAAACTTCAGGGAGGAGAGGCCGACACAGGAAAACCCAGCTGGAGGTGGTGCCTGAGTGAAGGCTGACACCTGATCACCAGCCAAAGGAAGTGAAAACCGACCCAGATCCCAGCCATGAACAAACGCTCAAGGGCAGAAAAACACATCATGTCAGGACCGAGACAACTGTAACTAAAAAAGAAAATAAAATCATAAAAATTTAAAACCCATGGTTCGTGCCTGGGTATGAGGAGAAGGATGCATGAGGCCAGCACTCATTGTGGCCAGTTCAGTACTCAGGCCCTTTTCAGAGCTCACTGTTCCCCAGTTTTGCTTCAGTGTTTATACTGTCCAGGGCCAGGAGGTGAGTCCCACATGGTCTGAGCCACTCCTGACAGTCCTGTTCCTGCTCTGCCTGCCCCGCTGCCAACTAAGATTGACCGTGTGTCCCACTCAGTTTCGGCCACTGAAACGGAGTTCTGCTGGGTGGGACGCCTGGAAACTGCTTTCCTGGCTGAAGGGGACTGGGGCTGTTGGGGACAGGGACAGCTGGCCTAGCCCTGTGCTCCTCCCCTGCTCCCATGGCAGGGACCCTGGTGCTGGGCACAGAGCAGGCTATCAGATAGTGTCAGCTCTCATCAAATCCCTGTACACGCCCTGCATGTCACACGAGCCCTCCTCTGGCTCCTAGCCAAGATCAATAGCATTCATCTGGCCTTCACCCTGTCCTCTGCTCTGTCACCTGCTCCACCCAAGCATTCTTATGGTCCCCCAGCCTGACGGTTCCTGCCTCAGCTTTGGTGTGGAGCATCATTCTCCTGTCCCAGAACTGAGCAGGAGGCCAGACACTAAGAGGTGCTCAGGCCGTGAGAGGAGAGAATGAAGCCAAGGGAGAGGAACCCAATCGCGAGGGAGCGGCTGACCCACCCTCCACCCATCAGGACACAGCTCCAGGGACTGCCTCATAGTACAGAAGGGTGGTTCTCTCTTATCCTCTCACTTTCTAGGAGGACAAACAGCACAGGTGACCCTCAAATCCGGGGCACGTGTCTGACACTCTCTGGGTGGCCCCACCTCGGTATAAAGAACCATCCTATGGTAGAAGAGTCCTAGATCACTTATCCCATGGCCTATGGAGACACTTGAGAGGGTCAACTACAGCAGGAAGCTGCTGGGTCTCTGGTCCTCACTTCTCTTCGGTGTTAAGCACATTCCTGGAGCTGGGAGAAGAAAGCACCTGCAAGTTACCCTCCCTCTCCAGGGGAAGGAGGATGGTGCAGCGGCCCATCCTCTGTTCAAGCCCAGGTTGGCTGTCTGTGGGCTGGAGAGTAGTGGTGGATCCCAAGTGTCAGCAGGATGCCTGGGTCATAGAAGCTCAGGACCTCAGGAAAGCCTCGACAGGAAGGAACACAGACAGGCTAACCCCATGCAGAGCAAAACTGGCAAGGGAGCATATCAAGAACTGGCTCTTCTCTTAAAGCTCACCTAACACCTAAAAGGAGAGAGATTCCTGTAGTAAGCGGTGCTCTGACATCCCAGAGCCCTGTGGCTCTGTCTATGGCTCCCCTCAGAGATACTGTCACCTGTATGTCCCCAGACTGCAGACTCAGAGAGTCTTCAAATGTCAGAGCTAAGTGTGATAGGAGATCATCCAATCCTGACCCTCATTGCACACGTGGAGATGCTGAGGCCCAGAGAGGGGTGTGTCTCGTCCAAGGTCACACAGCTCAGGGTGGCACAGCTTGGTCTAGACCTGACTCCCAGCCCCTGACTCTTCCTCCTGCATGAGTGGGCAACGGAGCAGTGGGAACAGTGAGCACTACCCGGGAGGAAGTGAAGGCATGGACCCCAAATCACTAGCCTGACTCAGAGCCGTGGAGGAGGCTGAGGAAGACCTGTGTAAAGTGTAGATCTGGGCAAAGTGAGTCTCAGACCTGGCCAGGAGCCTCAGGCTGTGAAGCCTGGCCATGTTCCACCACCCTCCTAGAGCATGGTGACCCTGCCCAGCAATTCCCACCAGATCCCCAGGGCCTGAAGGATCTGCCCCACCCAGACAACTCATCCTGAACCTTCTGTTCCGTCGCCAGGCACATGAGGCTGTGCGGTAAAAGTGATAGGACCATGGGTTAGAGCAGAGACGAGGGATTTGCTGAGCCCCCAGGACTGTGACCTTGAGTCTCTGGGAAGGGAATATTGTTTCGATTCACCCATTCAGGAATAATAGCTAATAACAAAAGAGCCATGTACCAAGCGCTGCCTAGAAAACTCTCGTCAATCCCTCGGATGCAGATCAAAAGTCACTGCAATGATAGAACCTTCCCTGATTTCCTCAAACAGAGGTTTTGCTGGGACCCCAGGTTCCAACAGCACATCCACATCTCTGGGTGCGCCCTCTCACGTGGCAGTTCTGGAGTGACCTGCCTGCCATCCCTGGATGAGTCAGGAGCACAGGGTGCCAGTCCCAGGCCCACAAGTCATCCTTTGTGTGGCCTGGCTGGAGGTGGCACCTAGCTCTCTGTGCCTTAGGCCTTATGTATCCATAGAGACAGCTATTCCTACTTCCCAGAATTCTGAGGATCACAAGAGCCTGTCAGTGAGAAAGTGCTTTGTGAGGTAGAGAGTACTGCGTAAGTGTGAAGAGGTGGCATTGCTACTGACATGCTCAAGTGACATCTGTGACTCAGGTGCTCGAGTGACATCTGTGACTCAGAGTTTGAAATCCCCACTCCCCGGTGTAACCAGTTTACAGCAGTGGGAGTGGTGTTGTGGTTACAGCTTCCTTGGCTGTAGCAGTGGCTGGGTCAAAAGATGTGTCGATTAGATGCCATGGGGGAGGGAAGACAGGCTGTTCCTGAGGGCAGAGTCTCAGTCAGGAAAGAACATTCCCTACCTTACCCATCCCCATGGTGCCCGGCCCTCAGGTAGACCTCAGGTAAACCCTCCTGAATCACCCTCAGCCAAGGCAATGTCCAGTTCCAGCTCCTTCTCTCCACAGCTGAGCCCCTTCCCAGGTGCCCACGCCACACCTGCTATTCCATCCGATGGCTGCTCATTAGCCTTCCTGCAAATTCACTCACCTGGGTCTGCCCTTTTCCTCATCCTAGGAATCCCCCTCTTCTCTAGACACTGCCTTTTGCTAGCTTTACTGCCTCTATCCATGCAGGCTCTTCTTGACAATTCTGCTGTCTCATGTGGATCCCTGGCTTCCTGGATCCTTTCTCACTCTTGTTGACTTACTCCCTCATTTTGCTGGAAAACATTCCCCAGTAACTTCCAGAGTAACAGTAATTGCTAGGTGTGATGATTAATTGCATGTTCAACTTGGCTTGGGGACCAATATAATTCTGGATGTGTTGGTGAAGGTGTCTTTTGGATGAGATTAAGATTTAAATCAGTAGATTTTGAGTAAAGATGATTACCCTCCATAATGTGGATGGGCCTCAGCCAATTAGTTAAAGGCCTGAAAAGAAAAAAGACTGACCTGTCCCGAGGGAATTCTGCCAGGAGACTGCCTTGGACTTGAACTACAGCTCTTCCCACGCCAGCTGCCACTTGAGGCAAGGAGTTGCCAGGGGTAACCGGGGTTGCTGCTCACTGCTCACCCCCATCTCTGCGGCCTCAGCTGATCAGCCTCACCTTTGTTCGGCACTAGGTGCTTGTCTCCCTGTCTGTCTTTGTCCTCCTTGTCTCTCTCTCCCAGTCCAGACCTGGATAGAGATTAAATTTTTCTTGTTTGTATGTTTTTCTCTGCACAGAACAAAAAGGGTACAGATTACTTGGACAGTGTCTTTGAGAAAAAGGACAAGAATGAAGATAAGAAGATTCACTTTTCTGAATTTCTTTCCTTGCTAGGGGACACAGTTACAGAATGCCACAAACAGAGCCATGGAGCAGAGCAATGTTCCAAGGGAAGTCAGTGAACCAGCCCCAGGGGCCTCCAGAGACCTCACAAACAATAAAATGTCTTTTTCTACCAGACACTTGGTCTCTTACACCTTCTTTTTGGGTGTCATGTGTTGACAAATGGACAAGTGCTGGCTGTCACTTTTGTAGATTCTCACAAGGGGGTTCAGCACAGCTGACACTCACTCCAGAGAGGTCTCCCTCGGTTTCCCCCAGGCTCACCTCTGCTCCCCAACCCCCAAAGGCATCCAACTTGCTGGCACCAAGGTGCACCTGCAGCCGTCAGCACAGCCACAGTGAGGCTCAAGTGAGGGAGCTGGGTCCTCAGGGAACCCTGTCACCGAGGCGTTTTGTCTGTGTTTGAGAGTTAGGGGAGGGGTGCCCTGGGAGGTCCATCACTGAGCTGGCTGTTGAGGGCACAGCAGGGGGAAGACGCAGATGCTGATCCTCCCACCCCCCACTTAGTTTTCCACCCCTCCCTGCTGTTGTTCCTCAGGGTCATGGAGGAACCTGCTCTCTACTCTCATGCTGAAAATACATCCTGGACAAAAGCTGGTGCCTTTCCCCAAGGGCCAGCGGGAGAGCTTTCTGTGGGTCATGGTCATGGATGGGAAGAAGCAGCGGGGTCTTGAGCACTATATCCCTGTGGTACGGCCCAGCCTTCTGAAGCTCATGGATGTGTGTGTGCACACGCGTGTTCCTGCAAAGTGTGTGGTGTGTGTGCATGAGGGGGGGAGAGAGAGAGAGAGAGAGAGAGTAATTCAGTACGGGATGAGAGAGTCATCCCGTAGAGTCTCTCATCTTGAGAAGGGAGAAATGTGCACTGTGAAGACAGAGGTGAGTGAACAACTCAAAGTTTGAAGGCTGAGGCTGTTCCCCAGCAGGCAAGTAAAAGGGCAAGGGGGACTGAGGCCAACAGGAATTGTGTCCTTACTTCTGGGTGCTGGAGGGAGTCTTCTCTGAGTGAGATGCATGAAAAGCAACTTAAGCTTTTGTCCAGGTTAAGGGGGAAGGGAGAAACAATCAACTTCTGAGGGAGACTTTACTCAGGGTCACACACTGTGCTGGGCGCTGAGGATGCAGAAATAAGCACAGCGTAGGGCTGCCTGCCTGGAGTGCTGGCTCTGTCTGGAGACCGCCAGTCTTTTGTGGCCTTTTCACTGGGGTGGAGGGAGGTCGAGGGCTCTCCTTAGACTCCAGCCTGAAGGTGCCAGGAGGCAGGCAGGGTCAGCATTCTCCTCTATCCCCAGTGCCACTTCCAGGCCCTGTCACGTGCACTCTCCTCTCAGCACCACTCCTTGAGGCTCATGTTGTTGGGCCGTTTCACTCTTATCCTCCTGGTCACACCCACCCTCCAACCTGACCCACAGTTCCTTCTCCATCCCATCAAGAAGATGTGCATGGGGGTAAGGTCACCATCTTCAGCTCACAAATGCTCTCTGTCCATCTGTTGCTCGTCTCTACTTGGGGTTGCCTTCCCTCTGGACTTTGTCACTGTTCGAGACTGTTTCTTTCTGATACCCTACTCTCCGGCTACTGCTGTCTATCTCTGCTGCCTCTTCTCTTCCAACTTCTGTTTTCCCTATTCTTTGAGTGAGTCAGGACCTCTGTGTCTAAACCTCTTCCTTTTCACTCTTTCTGTCAGCCTCTGCTGGTGTCATCACCTTCCTTAGCAGCCTGCTTTGCATGACCCACTGTTGCAGCTTAACTCTGCCCTGAGCTTCCTTCACCCGTCTTGCAATGCCCCAGTCTGGAACCAGCCCTATATTTTGCCTCCTCTCTTCCCCCACTCAGGTGCTGATCCCTGAAAGGTAATTCTGTGCCAGGGGCCGAGGCTGGTCCCCTGCCTGCTCCTTGATCCTATTTCTCTCTGAAGTCCCACTGTTAACTCAGCTTGCGGGATGTGCCCAAGGACTTCCAAATCACACCAGCACTCCTGCTTTCCCAGGCTTCTGTTAGGGCTGCTCACTCTCTCTTCACAGCCTGAAATTTCTTTTCTAGACTTGTCTGTCTAGGAGCATCTTGTTCCAATTCTAAACTTTGATGTCATCTTCTCTGTGGTGATAGTAGTTGGAGGTGACCCCAAGCCTGTGACTATCTATATTGTACTTTATGCTTATTTCTATTTCTAGCATCCATAACACTTTTTTTCACTTGGTCTCTTCTAGACTGTGAGTCTCTAGAAGGCATAAACTGTGTGCACCACTGAATCCTCAGCACCTAGCAGCTTGCGTGGCACAGAGTGGGTGTTCATTAATTGTTGAATGATTTATGGGTAAGAACCTTGTACCAGGGTGATCAGGAGTTCAAAAAGCCACCTGGGTAATCCATAGACTCACTAAAATGGGTACTTATAGCTGCAGGCACTGAAACTTGAGTGGGAACCAGGAAACTGGAGCCAATTAGATAAGAGCTGGGTGAAGCTTTCAAGGGTTTTGGGCTTCAGGTGGCTCACAGGTGGTTTATTATGTTAGAGAGTGAGAAAGGATTCAGGAAGCCAGGGATCCTTGCAGAAGAGTGGAAGGATCCAGGAAGCAGTTGCCTAGGGAGAATTAAAGTGTAAGAGCTCTATTAGGGGAAAGGCCTGTGAAAGATAAGGTGGAAGAGGAGCAGAATGGAGGAGGGTGAGCCACAGACCCTGTAGCCCTGAGATGGGATGGAGGGAGGATTGGGCAGGAGGAGCCTGAGATGCCAGTGCAGCTCTGAGATGTTCTGCACCAGGGCCGAGGAATGGCCCACCTGTGGTGTCCTCGCTGTGCCCAGCACTGACTGGGATCTGCCTAGAGGGCCCTCGGGTAAAGGCTGCAGTGGATCCCAGCTACACTCTTAGCTGAAGGGGCATCTGAGCAGAGAACCTCACTGGCTGCCATAAGGGACGACAGAGGGCAGGAAGGATCCCTGGCTGGGGCTGGTGTCCTCACAAGGGCACAGAGTAGGGGCAGCTGAGGGTGGGACAGAGGGTAGGGTAAGGGCAGAGAATAGCCCCCCAGGAAGAACCTGCAGGAATCATAGCTGTGGAGGGAGTAGATGAAGGAGAGTGGAGTCCAGGATACCACAGGGCAGAAAAGAGGGATAGGTGGTCTGAAATAACTTACCTCCTATATTAGGGTTCTCCAGAGAGACAGAACCAATAAAAGGTATGTGTGTGTGCATGAGCAAACACCAACCCCCTCCCCACTGACATACACACTCTGCAGTATACACACATTCCAGAGAGATTGATTTTGAGGAATTAGCTCATGTGATTGGGAGTAAGGTAAGGCAAGCCCAAGACTGCAAGCTAGGCGAGAAGGCTGGAGCCCCAGGGAAGAGCTATAGTTCAAGTCCAAGGCAGTCTCCTGGCAGAATTCCCTCGGGACAGGTCAGTCTTTTTTCTTTTCAGGCCTTTAACTAATTGGCTGAGGCCCATCCACATTATGGAGGGTAATCATCTTTACTCAAAATCTACTGATTTAAATCTTAATCTCATCCAAAAGACACCTTCACCAACACATCCAGAATTATATTGGTCCCCAAGCCAAGTTGAACATGCAATTAATCATCACACCTAGCAATTACTGTTACTCTGGAAGTTACTGGGGAATGTTCTCCAGCAAAATGAGGGAGTAAGTCAAGAAGAGTGAGAAAGGATCCAGGAAGCCAGGGATCCACATGAGACAGTGGAATTTTCAAGAAGAGCCTGCATGGATAGAGGCAGTAAAGCTAGCAAAAGGCAGTGTCTAGAGAAGAGGGGGATTCCTAGGATGAGGAAAAGGGCAGACCCAGGTGAGTGAATTTGCAGGAAGGCTAATGAGCAGCCATCGGATGGAATAGCAGGTGTGGCGTGGGCACCTGGGAAGGGGCTCAGCTGTGGGGAGAAGGAGCTGGAACTGGACATTGCCTTGGCTGAGGGTGATTCAGGAGGGTTTACCTGAGGTCTACCTGAGGGCCGGGCACCATGGGGATGGGTAAGGTAGGGAATGTTCTTTCCTGAATGAGGCTCTGCCCTCAGGAACAGCCTGTCTTCCCTCCCCCATGGCATCTAATCGACACATCTTTTGACCCAACCACGGCTACAGCCAAGGAAGCGGTAACCACAACACCACTCCCACTGCTGTAAACTGGTTACACCGGGGAGTGGGGATTTCAAACTCAGAGTCACAGATGTCACTCGAGCACCTGAGACACGGATGTCACTTGAGCACCTGAGACACAGATGTCACTCGAGCACCTGAGACACAGATGTCACTTGAGCATGTCACTTACGCAGTACTCTCTACCTCACAAAGCACTTTCTCACTGACAGGCTCTTGTGATCCTCAGAATTCTGGGAAGTAGGAATAGCTGTCTCTATTGATACATAAGGCCTAAGGCACAGAGAGCTAGGTGCCACCTCCAGCTAGGCCACACAAAGGATGACTTGTGGGCCTGGGACTGGCACCCTGTGCTCCTGACTCATCCAGGGATGGTAGGCAGGTCACTCCAGAACCGCCACGTGAGAGGGCGCACCCAGAGATGTGGACGTGCTGTTGGAACCTGGGGTCCCAGCAAAACCTCTGTTTGAGGAAATCAGGAAAGGTTCTACCATTGCAGTGACTTTTGATCTGCATCCGAGGGATTGACGAGAGTTTTCTAGGCAGCGCTTGGTACATGGCTCTTTTGTTATTACCTATTATTCCTGAATGGGTGAACAGAAACAATATTCCCTTCCCAGAGACTCAAGGTCGCAGTCCTGGGGACTCAGCAAATCCCTCGTCTCTGCTCTCACCCATGGTCCTATCACTTTTACCGCACAGCCTCATGTGCCTGGCGATGGAACAGAAGGTTCAGGATGAGTTGTCTGGGTGGGGCAGATCCTTCAGGCCCTGGGGATCTGGTGGGAATTGCTGGGCAGGGTCACCATGCTCTGGGAGGGTGGTGGAATATGGCCAGGCTTCACAGCCTGAGGCTCCTGGCCAGGTCTGAGACTCACTGGAGGTTCTGCTCCTTTGCCCAGATCTATACTTTACACAGGTCTTCCTCAGCCTCCTCCACGGCTCTGAGTCAGGCTAGTGATTTGGGGTCCATGCCTTCACTTCCTCCCGGGTAGTGCTCACTGTTCCCACTGCTCCGTTGCCCACTCATGCAGGAGGAAGAGTCAGGGGCTGGGAGTCAGGTCTAGACCAAGCTGTGCCACCCTGAGCTGTGTGACCTTGGACGAGACACACCCCTCTCTGGGCCTCAGCATCTCCACGTGTGCAATGAGGGTCAGGATTGGATGATCTCCTATCACACTTAGCTCTGACATTTGAAGACTCTCTGAGTCTGCAGTCTGGGGACATACAGGTGACAGTATCTCTGAGGGGAGCCATAGACAGAGCCACAGGGCTCTGGGATGTCAGAGCACTGCTCACCACAGGAATCTCTCTCCTTTTAGGTGTTAGGTGAGCTTTAAGAGAAGAGCCAGTTCTTGATATGCTCCCTTGCCAGTTTTGCTCTGCATGGGATTAGCCTGTCTGGGTTCCCTCCTGTCGAGGCTTTCTTGAGGTCCTGAGCTTCTATGACCCAGGCATCCTGCTGACACTTGGGATCCACCACTACTCTCCAGCCCACAGACAGCCAACCTGGGCTTGAACAGAGGATGGGCCGCTGCACCATCCTCCTTCCCCTGGAGAGGGAGGGTAACTTGCAGGTGCTTTCTTCTCCCAGCTCCAGGAATGTGCTTAACACCGAAGAGAAGTGAGGACCAGAGACCCAGCAGCTTCCTGCTGTAGTTGACCCTCTCAAGTGTCTCCATAGGCCATGGGATAAGTGATCTAGGACTCTTCTACCATAGGATGGTTCTTTATACCGAGGTGGGGCCACCCAGAGAGTGTCAGACACGTGCCCCGGATTTGAGGGTCACCTGTGCTGTTTGTCCTCCTAGAAAGTGAGAGGATAAGAGAGAACCACCCTTCTGTACTATGAGGCAGTCCCTGGAGCTGTGTCCTGATGGGTGGAGGGTGGGTCAGCCGCTCCCTCGCGATTGGGTTCCTCTCCCTTGGCTTCATTCTCTCCTCTCACGGCCTGAGCACCTCTTAGTGTCTGGCCTCCTGCTCAGTTCTGGGACAGGAGAATGATGCTCCACACCAAAGCTGAGGCAGGAACCGTCAGGCTGGGGGACCATAAGAATGCTTGGGTGGAGCAGGTGACAGAGCAGAGGACAGGGTGAAGGCCAGATGAATGGTATTGATCTTGGCTAGGAGCCAGAGGAGGGCTCGTGTGACATGCAGGGCGTGTACAGGGATTTGATGAGAGCTGACACTATCTGATAGCCTGCTCTGTGCCCAGCACCAGGGTCCCTGCCATGGGAGCAGGGGAGGAGCACAGGGCTAGGCCAGCTGTCCCTGTCCGCAACAGCCCCAGTCCCCTTCAGCCAGGAAAGCAGTTTCCAGGCGTCCCACCCAGCAGAACTCCGTTTCTGTGGCCGAAACTGAGTGGGACACACGGTCAATCTTAGTTGGCAGCGGGGCAGGCAGAGCAGGAAGAGGACTGTTAGGAGTGGCTCAGACCATGTGGGACTCACCTCCTGGCCCTGGACAGTATAAACACTGAAGCCAAACTGGGGAACAGTGAGCTCTGAAAAGGGCCTGAGTACTGAGCTGGCCACAATCAGTGCTGGCCTCACGCATCCTTCTCCTCATACCCAGGCACGAACCATGGGTTTTAAATTTTTATGATTTTATTTTCTTTTTTAGTTACAGCTGTCTCAGTTCTGACATGATGTGTTTTTCTGCCCTTGAGCGTTTGTTCATGGCTGGGATCTGGGTCGGTTTTCACTTCCTTTGGCTGGTGATCGGGTGTCAGCCTTCACTCAGGCACCACCTCCAGCTGGGTTTTCCTGTGTCGGCCTCTCCTCCCTGAAGTTTCTGCTCTCTTCTTGGGGCCAACACAGCCTCACTGTACATCTTTTAGCAGCTGACAGGGTTCCTATTTTATCTTTTTTTCGTCTGTTTTCATTTCTTCTTCTTTCTTTCTTTCTTCTCTTCTTTCTTTCCTTCCTTCCTTCTCTTCTTTCTTTTCTTTTCTTTTCTTTTCTTTCTTTCTTTCTTTTTTTCTTTCTTTCTTCTTCTCTTCTTCTTATTCTTTGTTTTTCTTTCTTTCTTCTTTCTTTTGAGACAGGGTGTCATTCGTTCCTGAGGCTGGGGCGCAGTGGCATGATCATAGCTCACGGAGCCTTAAACTCCTGGGCTCAAGTGATCCTCCTGCCTCAGCCTCACAAGTAGGCTGGGACCACAGTCATGACTCATTCTGCTCAGCCTCGTTTCTTCTTATCTTCTAAAATGTGAGCATCCTGAGGTGAGCTGAGTCCCACACCCCTTTTTTTTAAAAATGCACCTGTTAGTATCTTCAACATAAAGAAAAGCGAGTGCTTTGCCTCTCATTAAATGTAGATTGAATGAATGCGTCTATGACTCAGCTCAGAATGGTTGAGGGAACCTAGCTGAGTAAACTTGGGATGTTTCTTTAATCTTAACATCTCAATTCCCTCTTTCCTAAACTGGGGATAGCAGCACCTACCTCAGAGTGTTGTGAGGACTAAAGAGAAACTCATGTACAGCAGGGATCTGAAATTCCATCCTTTTTTGATCCAGAGTCCTAGAGTTCTCTCTCCCATTCCCTGTCCTAATCTGACACATCCACTGGCTGCCCCAGACCTGGATTAGGTTGGAACAGAGAAGTCTTCAGGTGACATCTCCGGGGGTGGTGTAGGACCTGGTGACCTGAGATTCTGGCCAGAAACCCTAAGCATAGTCTCCTGGGTGTGTCCCAACCATCTGATGTGGGGAAAGCTCCAAAAAACAGATGGGAGAGGTGGCTCTAGGCCTCCCAGCCCCTGGGAAGAGCCAGGCTGAGCCTTATAGAGACTGCTCTTTGTCCAAATACACAAATGTCACTCATCCTTCTCCTCATGATGCTTCCCAGCTCCGATAAGTCTCACCTACCTCTCTGCCTTTTCTAGCAGTGCCCAGTGTCTGGCCTGCCATTCACTTTCTCCTGTAGGAGGAAAGAGGACTGTGGATGACTACCCAGGAGCCTGGGTGTAGGCCCAGCTCTGCCACCAGCCGGGCTGAGTGACCTTCACTCGCGCCCGAGAGCCCGCATCTGTACAACCAGGTGGCTGGACCAGACCTGTCCATTGCTCCTTTGGGATCTCCTGTGACAACTCCTGTGGAAATGCCTCCAGTGGGACCTGAGCACAGGACCTTCCCTGTCTTCCTCCTCCCTGGATTCATCCTCCTGTTGGGGTCTGGGGTACTGAATCCCCTCCCCAAGTCTGCCCCCACAGAGGGCTAAGAGTCCCCTGAGAATGCCTTGGAGGCTCCTTGAAGCCCCAGGCCTGGGACCTCCACACATCATAGCCCTGGTGAGATGATCTGCCCCTACCTGGGTAAGGTATTGAGCAACCAAAGCTCCCTCACTCCCTATTACAACCTGCAAATTCTCAGTCACCCTCTGGGCACGGGGCTCAGCCCCTGGCCTTGGCCTCAGATTCAAAAAGGCTTTAGAGGGCTCCTCTTAGTGAGTTGCCAGCATACACAGCTTTCTCTTGCATTGGAAGGTGATGGGGGTTTACTGTCAGATGCCCACAGGCGATGAGCAAAGGTCATTATCTGGGTCTTGGAAAGTGCAGGAAATGGAACTGCACTGTCCTATTTTCGCCTGGGCTGCAGGCCAGCCAGACTGAGTTTGCTGGAGGATCTGCTTTGGGAAGTCAGAACTTTTTATTTAAATAATGCGCAGCCTTGGTGATTCAGAGGTGCAGATAATCCCAAGAGTAGACATGCAGCTGAACCCCCACTCACCTCCACCCCATCCGGCAGCTAAGAACCAGGGAGTTATTTCTTGTTCTTTTTAACAGAGGCTAGCTCGTGGTCCCCCGTGCCTCTTTCACATTCCTCTGAGGTCTAGGAAGGGCCCCCTGTGCTCGGGACAAGGGCTGTGTTTCCTGCTCACACTCATGTCCGTGTCCACCATTGCACCTGAGCCTGCATGCACCGTTCATGCAGGGCTTTCACTCGATCAAGGTGGGGCCCATGTTGTCTGGTTCCCTGAAGCAGCCAGAGGGTCGGAGACCAGATCACCAAAGCCATTGTCCTGCCCCGTGACTCTCACCCCGGCTGTAGCTGGACGAGATGGATTTGGTGCTGTTTGAGGAGCGGATCTGCCATGTGCTGACTGTGGCTGGGGGTCCCTGCTCAGGGTTTAGTTCTCCCACGTGTTGTTGGCCCCTGTGTCTCCCTGATTCTCCCTCTCGCGGAGCACTGCCCACAGCTGGGCTTCTGCTGTCTCCCTTCTCCTGTTGCTCCCTGTCGGTTGAGCCTAGATCCCAGGTATAGCCCCTACCCTTTTGGAAGCAATTTATCCCACCACACAGAGAAACACAGGTTTCTCTGGTCCACCCCTTAGCCTTGTCCTCATTTGCTCCTAAACCCTTCTCATCTTCTTAATATCAGTCCATTCACTAGAGGAAGGAAAAAAATCCTTGTTTTTATTTCCTGAAGGCTTTTTGAAACAAAGATGAGCATCCTCTCCACCTGAGAAAGTCAAGTTGGGACACTAGTTGCGATGTTTCACCAATACAGGGGAGATGATGGTACGATTGACATGCCAGGTCTGGTGAACTTGATGAAGGAGAATTTCTCCAACTTCCTCCGTGGCTGTGTGAGTGGGAACTCTGCCTGCCCTGGCCTGGGAAGGCATTCATATTTGTGCAGGGCAATGAAAGTGTGATTCTTGAACAGGTCCCGTGGTGTGACATGTCTGAGGACTCATGTCTGGGAGCTGAATTCACTATTTTATTGGGGTAATTCTGAGCCCTGTATATGCCTCACTGATCCATCTGTCCCAGCCCTAGGCAGGACCAGCCCCGTGGAGAGACTAACCATTCAGGGGATGGATACTGGAGCTGAGAATCAGACATGCTGGGCTCCTGTCCCACCACTGGGCCCCCTGCCGTGTGACCTGGAGAGGTTGCATACATATTCTAGCCATTTATTTCTTTTGCCCAACGTAACCCCATCCCTCTGTGAGAGTCACTTCTCTGGGTTCCAGTGGAGCCTTGTCAAGATGGAACTCAATGGAAATCAGAATATTGATAACATGAGCACCACCCTTTACCTTTGGCTGAGCTCATTCATATACTGGGTTTTATTTCACTGTTTGAATGCATCACTCTTATTAGCAAAACATAACAGAGAGAATAGAGCACTGTGTCCTAAAGAAAGCGGAACCTGGACACTTAACAGTTGGAATGGGGAAAGAATGGAAATGGGAGGAAGAGTCGACATGTAAGAGAAGGAAGGGCGGTCAGCCTGTGTTGGGCCCCTGGGAGAATGGAGACAGGCGCCTCTAACGGGGGATGGGTGGGTCTGCGGGTCTGTGGCTGATGAAGGCCCCTCTCCTTTTTACCAGCTGTGGTTCCTGGCGGAGCCTGACACCAATCCCTGTGTTTTCCTCATGGAGTCACTCAATGGAGAACTCCTCAGGAACAACCCCAGCATTGCTGCTCTCTGTCTTCCACCCCACTCCTGTCCCACTTACCCCTTGCCATGTTCACACCACAGGATGATCTCTTTCCCTTTTTTCCAATTCAAATCTCATTTTTCTTTCTGTGTGTTTCTCTCCATGCAGGAAAAAAAGCGACACAGATTACTTGTCCACTGCCTTTGAGAAAAAAAGATAAGAATAAGGATAAGAAGATTAATTATTCTGATTCTTTCCTTGGCTGGGGGATGTAGCCATAGACTACCACAAGAAATGCATGGAGCGTGCTTTGTTTTCGGGGGAGCCAGTCATTCCTGCCCCACCAGGGGCCTCTGGAGGACCCCCATGAACAATAAAGCCATCTACTCTCAGCAAGAACTTCCTCCTTTTCCTTGGGCTGTGGTTGTCTTAGACAGAACAGGGGCCGGGCGCGTGAGTCAAGCCTTAATCCGCGAGCAACTTTTGGGATGGCCGAAACGGTGGATACACGAGGTCCAGGAATCCGCAGACATCCTGGCTAATCACGTAAACCCCGTCTCTATCAAAAAAATACAAAAAAATAGCCGGGAAAGTGGGGCGGGCCTTAGTCCCAGCCTACTCGGGAGCTGAGGCAGGAGAATGGCATGAACCCGGAGGCGGGCGTGCAGTGAGCTGAGATCCCGGGCCACCTGCCTCCAGCCTGGGCGACAGAAGTAGAGCTCGATTCTCCAATAAAAAGAAACAACAAAAACAAAAAAACAGAAAAGACAGAACAGGAAGTTAAGTTCATAACTTGCTGTAGATAGCTCCACTAGATGCAGAAGTGGCTCCCTAGCAGATGTCTGCTTCCAGAAATGTCTCCACAGTGCCCCGTAGTCCTGACCTGGGTCATTCTTCTCTTTTGGTTTTGGGTTTGAGATTCCCTGTTACACAACCTGGGAGCACGCATCCCTTGCCTAGCTTTGGCGACCCTTAGTCGGGGTGGTAAACTGGAACACCTTGCTGGGCCTTGCCAGCGAGGCCAGGACTGGGCACTGCTCTCCTGCACCCACTCCTCATGAGTAGACAAGGAGCAGCAGTGCATGAGCACTAGACTCCTGTTCTTCTGGCCTGCGCCCCTGGAGGCTCCCTGGCCTTGCTCCTGTGTCCTCTTGTTGGGATCAGTGGTGAGCGGATATTGTTGTCTCTCTCTGACATGTGGGTTTGCTGAATGCCAGCTTCTAGGCTTGCACTGGGGGATGGCAAAGGCAAAAGAGTTCAGTCTTGGGTCAGTGGGAAATCCTTCCAAAACACATGGAACTGGCTACTAAGTCCCAGCCTGATTCAGGTTCCAGCTTTGGGTGGTCATTTGTTGGAGTAAAGAGCATTCACATTAAGGCAGGGAGAGGAACAGTTAGTGATGCTTGTCTATGAGCCCTTGTACTCTGCGCGCAATGAAAATGCAGAAATGAAAATGATGCAGTGGCTGGTTCCCCACAAGATGCCCATCTTCTTGTGGCTCTCCCACTGGGTGTTGCTATTTCTTCCCAGTTTTAAGTCCTCCAAACCTTCGGCCAGGCGGCAGGGTCCCAGCATTCATCTTAATCACCAGGTCATGTTTAGACCATTTCCCCATTGTTCCTTACACCTCTGTAAATTCCTCCATCTTTGAGCCTCATGTCATGGGATTATCCCTCTTCTTTCTCTTTTTTTTTTTTCTTTATGAGTCCCTCTGGTCACCGTAGCTGGAGTGCAGTGGCTCAACCTACACTCACCGCAACCCTCATCCCTGGTTCAACGCGATTCTCAGGCCTAAGTCTCCCAGGTAGTTGGAATTACAGGTGTGAGCCATCACCTCCGGCTAATTTTGATATTTAGAGCCGTGTTGTGGGCCAGCTGGTCTTGAACTTCTGCCCTCAAGGTGATCCACCCACCTCGACCTCACCAAAGTGCTGGGATACAGTCATGAGGCCACATGGTCCCGGCCTATCCTGTGTTTTTTTTTTTGAGACAGGGTCTTGCTCTGTCTCCCAGGATAGAACGCAGTGGTGACATCATAGATCAATGCAGCCTTGACTTCCTGAGCTCAAGAGATCCTTCTGTCTCAGTCTTCCTAATAGCTAGGACTACAGGTGCAGGACACTACATCTGGCTATTTTTAAAATTTTTCATTTTTATAGAGATGGGTCTTGCTAGGTTTCCCAGGCTGGTCTCAAACTCCTGGCTTTAAGCAATCCTGCCTCAGCCTCCCAAAGTGCTGGAATTACAGATGTGAACCACCATACCCAGCCCCCTCCATTACAAAATGTTTTTTTAAGTAGATGTGGTCTTTCACTGTCACCCAGACTGGAATGCAGTGGTGTGATCATAGCTCACTGCAGACTCAATCCTCTGGCCTCATCTTCGCAAGTAACTGGGACCATGGGGCTTGTGACCTTGCCTGGTTTATCCTCCTTTCTTATCAGATTCTTGCATTCTCCTCACTCTTGATACTTGGCTAACATCACCCTTTCTATTTTACCAGGGGAACTTATTTGGGGTAAGTTCACAGTCAGATTTCCTAGAAGTAGAGACTAAGATGGGGATTCCCATGCAAGTGATATGGTTTATCAGGGAATGCTCTCAGGAGAAACCGGGGAGGATGTGGGGGTGAGAGCATGGACAGGGAAAAAGCTCATCGGAGACAGGAGCTTGGCCTCAGTCTAGCTTTCTTCTCATCCCACAGGGAGGTCTGCAGCCTGAATGGAGTTGCCCCACCTGGAGGCAAAGAAGCCCACCTTCTGTACCCCTGCACCATTTGTCACTGGCTACGGGCCACCCCCAGGGAAAGACAGAGCCTTTTAGGCATTTCTGGGCTGGGAGCTCCATTGGATCAGGGGCTGCTCTTAGGAAAAGGGTGCAGTCTTGCCCTATTAGTGGCCATCACTGACAGAAGCTGGTGACGGGCACATGGATCAGGTAACAGGGATGAGGGTGGGCATCACAGCATCTACTATGGTCCACGCCTTGTGCCCACTCAGATCCATTTGGTTCTCATGTCAGATTCATTCTATCCAGCAATTGTTTGTCAATTGTAGTTGATTTTGATTTCTGGGTAATTTTGCAAGAGAAGAGTTGGGGCTACTACAGGCCCAGAAGGGCGGCTCTTGCGCGGGAGCGTGAGGGCAGCCATCCTTGCTTCTTTTTATTGATTATATTAAGTTGTACCCTGTTGACTGTTTTAGAGTTAGAGGAAGCACAGTCCACAAGACAGCCATCACTTGACTAGACCCAACTTAACATGTTACAGCGATCTCTAGCAGTTAACGCTGTGGTTTGATAATCTTCCAGAAGAAGTTGCAGCACTCACGGCTTGAAAACGGTGGTTATACTGCAAGTTGTGGATTACCAGTGAGAGATGATCAGGACTACAATATATCAGAAAGAGACACATGGGGCAGAGTCCAGGAAAGCTGCAAGCGGAGCATCCCATGCACTCCCCCTGCCAGTCATGGGCAGTGCTCTTCTTGCAACAGCTGTGGCTTTGCCAACCAGGGAACCTTGTCTGAGCTTTGGCGACCAGAGTTTTTTATGAAGACCGTTTGGTGTACCTGCTGTGTGACTGACTCAGTCTCCAGCCCTCCAGAGGTTAAGCTGATAACACGTGACTCAAAAGCCTTCCACCATCAATCACATTGTTGGGCTTTCTGGAGTGGTTCTAACTCCAGCGGAAAACAAGGAACAGCTCTTCTTAAGGGTTGATATTTCCAGGACTTAGACAATGAC